TCTCTCTCTCTCTCTCTCTCTCTCTCTCTCTCTCTCTCTCTGTGTCTGTCTGAAAATCCATGAAGACCGATCCTCATTCCGGCGGCGATGGTGGAGATGCAGATTTGGAAGAACGACGCTTGCTCGACAGTGCTGCCACGTGTTTGCTCGGCAGAGCAGCCACGTGTTTCGATAACCAATCAAGGCCGTCGCAGAGGCCTTCGCCGGTGGTGGCTGAGGTGCTCTGCACGTGCCACTGCAACTTGGGAAGGGTGTGGAGACCTAACTTCTCTGCAATTTCCGTGGGACTCATTGCATCCGGGATGTCCTGCTTGTTCGCGAAGACGAGAAGAGCCACGTCCCGAAAGTCCTCCTCCTCCATCAGAAGGTAGAGCATGTCGCGGGCCTCTTGAATTCGACCAGGACGTTTATCGTTGCTGTCGACGACAAAGATGAAACCCTGAGTGCCCGGAAAATACTGCTTCCAAAGGGGATAAACACTAGTACCACCTCCGCAATCCCACACAGTGAAACGGAGATTCTTGTACTCCACCGATTCCACATTGAACCCCATGGTGGGGACCACCGTCACAATTTTGCCCAATTTCAACTTGTAAAGAATTGTCGTTTTCCCCGCGTAATCCAAACCCAACATCAGAATCCGAGTTTCCCCTTTGTGCCCGACGCGGTCCAACGACTTTCCCAATCCCATCCCCATCTCTTTCCCTTCTTCTTCTCTACCTCTCTACCAAACCTATTACCTCCTTTTCTCTTCCTCCCTCTTCTCTCTCTCTCTCTCTCTCTCTCTCTCTCTCCCTCTCTCTCTCTCTCTCTCACACACACACACACACACCTGTCTCTTATACACATCTAGATGTGTACCCCCCCGCGTGACAAAACAGCACAAGAGTAATGTTCGCCCCTTCTCTTTGATCCTTTGATAGGGTTCAGTCCCACGGGTAACGGAAAGAGGAAAGGAGAAACGTTTGAGAGTAGAAGAGAGTTCCGCTGATGAAACCGACTACAGTATATCCCGACAGACGGTACGGTATGACGTTGCAATCACGTGCTGTTCATCGCTGGCAGGTACACGTGGACGATCACTCAATACCTGCTTCGCCCGGACGAATCCCCGCTTGACACGTCGACTCACCGATCCATCCATCCATCCATGATTTATCGACTCATCCAGTTCGGCGGCCAAAGGAGAGACAAGGCGGAGGATGCCACGTGGCCAGATGCAACGCACCCTCATCCATGAATCTTACGGCAGGGTAGCGTCATGTTCCGCGGCCAAAGGACAGAGGAGGCGGAGGATGCCACGTGGCCAGATGCAGCGCACCCTCATCACAAGTGCATCGGACCGGAAAGACATCACCTATACATGCATTCCGGACCGGGTCGTGCGTTGCGTTCAGAGGAGGCGGAGGCTGCCACTTGGACGGATGCACCGCACACTCATCATCGCAACTGCATCGGACCGGAAAAACCCAGTCCATACATGCATTCATGACCGGGCCGGGATTGCGTCGCCTTCGGCAGCCAAACGACAGAGAGGACGCAGAGGATGCCACGTGGCCGGACGCAACGCACCCTCATCATTCCGACTGAATCCGACCGGAATAAGACAGCTGATACATAAACTCCCGATCGCCTTGCGTCGCGTTCGGCGGCCAAGTCACAGAGAGAGAGAGAGAGAGAGAGAGAGATAATGAGGCATAGAGAGCAACAGAAGACGCGACACTTCGTGACACTCTGGCATTCCTCTCTCTCTCTCTC